CCTAATGAGTCCTCATTAATGAATCTGTATTAACGAATCATTACGAAGGAACTTTTTGTTAAGGCGTCCTCGCTAAGGGCTCCTTATTGAAAAATCCTGCGTAAGGAATCTGAAATGAGGAACATGTGCGACGGAACCGCTTTGAAGGAACATGTATCTTACAAAAGGAATCCTTGTTAAGGAATCCGTATTAAGGCGCCCGTAGTGAGGAGTGTGGCTTAAGGAGTCATTACCAAGGAATCGTCCGTAAGGAACCACTACAAAGGAGTATCAATTTATGAATCTCGAACAAAGAATGTTTATTGAACACTCTTCAGAAAGGAACTTTGCGAAGGGCCCTTGTTTAAGGAACATATCCGAAGGAGTCCGCACTATGGATTGCGAATTTAGGAATGTGTACTGGGGAATCCTTTCTAAGGAATCTCTTTCCGAAGGAGTATATGTGTACATACATATACATACATACATATATATATATATATGAGAGAGAGAGAGAGAGAGAGAGAGAGAGAGAGAGCGTGATCCACCGCCGCTTTACTGTGGAAAATTGCCAACCTTTTCCTCCGGAACCCGGGGGTCGCCCCCCCCCCCCTCCGAAAATCCCCCCCCCCTGCTGGAACCCTCCCCCCCTCTCCCCCGGCAAAACCCCCCCCCCCCCTAACCCCCCCCCCCCCCCCCCTCCCCCTCGAAACCGGGGGGGGTCACTGCCGGTTCGAACCCCTTCCCCCCCCCCCTTCCGGATCTGGAAAACCGGGGGGGTTCACTACCGGTTCGAACCCCCCCCCCCCCCCGGAAAAACCGGAGGGGATCGCTACTAACCGGTTCGAACCCCTCCCCACCCCCCCACTCACCGCCAGCAAACGACTCCCGGTCCCTACCACCGTCCGCATCACATCCTCCACTGTTGTTCCCAGCACCACTGTCCTCACCACCACTGTCCCCGCTGTGTCCCCACCAGTGCCCCCACCACTGTCGCACTGTCCCCACTGTCCCCACCACTGTTCCCACCACGGTTCCACTCTCCCCACTGTCTCCACGGCCCCAACCACTGCCCGACTATCCCCACTGTCCCCACTGTCCCACTGACTCCGCCGCTGTCCCACTGAGCTGTCCCACTGTTCCCACCACTGTCCCCACTGTCCCCACCACTGTCCCCGCTGTACCTCTGTCTCATTGTCCCACCGCCGTCCTCGCCACCGCCTTCACCACTGTCCCCACCACCATTGTACCCTCCACTGTCCCACTGTTTCCACCTCATTCCCACTGTGCCCACACCATTGTCCCCACCACCACCGTCCCCACCGCTGTCCACTGTCCCCCCTGTTCCCACCGCCGCTTTACTGTGGAAAATTGCCAACCTTTTCCTCCGGAACCCGGCCCCCCCCTCCGAAAATCCCCCCCCCTGCTGGACCCACCCCCCCTTCCCCCGCGGCAAAACCTCCCCCTCCCCTAACCCCTCCCCCCCCCCTCCCCCTCGAAAACCGGGGGGGGGTCACTACCGGTTCGAACTCCTCCACCCCCCCCCCTCCGGATCCGGAAAACCGGGGGGGGTCACTACCGGTTGGAACCCCCCCCCCCCCCTTACCTTCGATCCGAAAAACCGGAGGGGGTCACTACCGGTTCGAACCCCTCCCCCCCCCCTACCCTCGATCCGGAAAACCGTAGGGGGCCTACCGGTTCGCACCCCCCCTTCGAAAAAACCCGGGGTTCACTACGGTTCGAACCCCCCCCCCCCCCCCCCCCCCTACCACCGCCAGCAAACGTAAAACGACTCCCGGTCCCCACCACCGTCCGCATCACATCCCCACTGGTGTTCCCAGCACCACTGTCCTCACCACCGCTGTCCCCACTGGTTCCACCACCGCCCCTACTGTCCCCACCAGTGGCCCCACCACTGTCGCACTGTCCCCGCTGTCCCCAGAACTGTTCCCACCACGGTTCCACTCTCCCCACTGTCTCCACGGCCCCAACCACTGCCCGACTATCCCCACTGTCCCCACTGTCCCACTGACTCCTCCGCTGTCCCACTGAGCTGTCCCACTGTTCCCACCACTGTCCCCACTGTCCCCACCACTGTCCCCACTGTACCTCTGTCCCATTGTCCCACCGCCGTCCTCGCCACCGCCTTCACCACTGTCCCCACCACCATTGTACCCTCCACTGTCCCACTGTTTCCACCTCATTCCCATTGTCCCCACACCACTGTCCCCACCACCACCGTCACCACCACTGTCCACTGTCCCCCCCTGTTCCCACCATTGTCCCCACCACTGTCCCCACCACTACCGTCCCCACCACTGTCCCACTGTCCCACTGTCCCCACCACTGTCCCGCTATCCCCTCACCACTGTCCCCACCAACACCGTCCCCACCACTGTCCGCACCCCCACTCGGTTTTCGAGGGGGGGGGGGTTCGAACCGGTAGTGACCCCCCCCCCTTTTCATGATGAACTGGGAGGGGGGGGGGGAGGGGTTCGAACCGGTAGTGACCCCCCCCGGTTTTCCGGAGGGGGGGGGGGGGGAGGGGTTCGAACCGGTAGTGACCCCCCCCCGGTTTTCCGCCAGCAGCGGTAGAACACGCTCTTTCATATATGAGAGTCCTAGGTGACGGCGGACGCTGCACGCAGGCCTTGCCTACCCTGGCGGAAATGGCGGACGCCGCGCGCAGGCCCATTCGACCTCCGCATTCCCAGCGAATTTCCAATCGCTATCAGGATGCTGCCAAAAATGTGCTCGGCGCCGAGGCGAAAACGCCATGTTTGAAACAAATGTGCGCGGCGCCGAGGGGAGGTGCAACATACTGCCACGACACGGGCCCCAGACCGCCACCCCTCAATCCCCCGCCGTCCAATATCAATATTAAGCACGGGGGGCGCCTTTCTTCTTTACAATTGTCCTGCAGTGCGCCGCTACAGAAGTTTCAATTGGAGCGTCTCAAGAGCCGTCCAAGAGTTCTGCGTCCTTGCAGCGCGTCCTTACTACAGATTTTGAGTTTACCCCGACCCCATCTGGGAGGCCTCTGTCGACGCGGGCCCGACGTTCGGCACGGATTTCCCGCGCAGCTCCGGCGCGGTACCCGGCGCGAGGGGCCACGCACGGCCCCCTGAATGCGCGCCGCGATGGCCTCCCAGCCTCCTTGCGGAGGCTGCCAGGAAGGTTCGCTGGACAAGGTTGGCCTCGCTAGACCTGAAGCCCCCCCACCCAGCCCGACACGTGGCACCCCCCAGGTTCGACCCGAAGCGCCCCAGCAGGGAGGAGGATAGGAGGAGGAGGAGGAGGGAGGAGGAGGAGGAGAGGAGGAGAAGGAGGAGGAGAGGAGGAGAGGAGGGGGAGGGGGAGGAGGAGAGAACGAAGAGGAGGATGAGGGGATGAGAGGATGAGGGGATGAGGGGATGAGGGGATGACGGGGAAGAGGAGGACGAGGAGGACGAGAAGGAGGAGGAGGAGGAGGAGGAGGAGGAGGAGGAGAAGCAGCCGTCGCAATAAAATTCGGTTTTCTCGAGCCAGTCTTCCTCGCCGTTCCCGACCTGGTGGCGCCTCCTCCCCCCAGCACGGCCGCTCTCTCTGGGCCCCCGCGGGCTGCCGCGGCCTGGGCGGCGAGAGCCCCCGCAGGCGGCGCCTCCGAGGCTCTCAGGAGGCGCCCCAACGGCTGCTCCAGGCAGGCTTGGGGAAAAGGACTGAAGCCGCTCCGAGGGGGAAGTGGGAGGGGGCGGGACCCCTCAGCAGGACGCGGGGCTTCTCGGAGGCCGCCGGGCCCGCCGAGAAGCCGTCGGTGGCTTCGCAGAGAGCTGGGAGGTCTTCTCCCCAATGCCGGAGGCCTCCTCCGGCCAGAGCGTTCCGGGACGCTCTCAGATCTATCTGGAGCGCTCTCGGGCGGCTGCGGCGCCCAACAGTGTCACATCTTGTGGGCCCGTAGTTATCAGCTCGTCCCGATTTGTCTTCATCCGAGCATAGCTCCGAGCAAGATTTGTATCCGCATCCATTCCGTCTTGGAGTTCAGGGCTCCCTTCCCCAGAAGCCGAAGGTGCAGCGCACATGGAGAGAAGAGCCTGGCCCCCAGAGGCAAGATCTGTTCCGTATCCGCTGCGCCCTGGCCATGTGGCGCCCCTGCCCACATGTGCCAGCCGAACGTTTCGGTGGACCCAGTTTGAACGTCATGTGTCAGTAGGGAAAAAAACACAGACACAATTAATCGTCGATTCCCCGGAAAATATGGGAAAATATGGGAAGTGGGGGGGGGATGACCAAAAACCAGAAAATATGGGGAATATGGTTATTATTTGTGTGTATTTATTTGTGTGTCCTGGGGCCCCTTCAATGTGTCTCGGCCGGCGGCTCGGGGGAGCGCGCCAGCTTCGAGAGAGTGCATGCCCGCACAGGGCACAGAGATCTCCCGCGCCAGAGGAGGCCAAGGGGGCTGCTCATTCCTCGACCACGGCGGCGGGATGGCCCGGAGGCCGTTGGACGGGTAGGAGGGCCCCGTCATCACCTCACGACGGGCGGGGCGGCGCGCCACTGGGCATCGGGTGAGAAGGTCGGGAGGCCTCCCGCTCCCCAGACATCCGGCGTCGTGATGTCTTCGCAGCAGGGCTCCCCCCACAGACGGTCTCGCGACCTGCTCCTCGTGGGGCCGGCGTTCCGTCCCGGGGTCGGCCTCTGACGGCCCCGCGGCCTGGCCAGGGCCACCGGGGGCCGAAGCCTGCGAGCAGCCTTGCGTCGTTTACACCGGGCGGAGAGCGGCGCAAGCAAGACCAGCCTGTCCGCCGCCGGGGACGCCTGCCCCCCGGGCGGCTGGAAAGTCTGTGCCCCTACGCGGCACCGTCAGGGGCATAATTAAGCTTTGCAGCCGCCGGGGGGGGGCAAGCGGCCCCGACGGCGGACGAGCTTACATCTCATGCCGTTCGGCGCCCGCCGGGTCGTGTTTTTTCGCCGCGGCGCGAGGAGGTCTGGGCCATTTTGCAGATTGCGTCCTCAGCCTCCCCCCCTCCTGCGACCGCCAGGCGCCGGCATGGCGACCGGGCCCGCCGCTGGCACGATGCCGGGTGCCGCCCCTCCTCCCAGCTCTTCCTCCCCCCCCCCTCACCCTCACCCCTCGCCTTTCTCTTCTTAAAGGACTCCTCCTCCTCCTCCTCGCCTCCGCCTCCTCACTGCCTCCTCCTCACCTCCTCCTCCTCCTCCTCCTCACTTACTCCTCCTCCTCCTCCTGTCCCTCCGCCTCCTCCTCCTGCGCTTCCTCTTCCTCCGCCTCCTCCTCCTCCTCCTCCTCTTCCTCCTCCTCCGCCTCCTCCTCCTCCTTGTCCTCCTTCTCCTTCTCCTCCTCCTCCTCCCCACACCTTCCACGCCCGCCCGCTCTGAGGTTCTACTCTCGGTGCCCGGTGCCTGGTACTCTTCACACTATGATTATGATTAAGTCGGGCCTGTCCCCGTACAAGAGGAATATTCAGAATTAATCAAACAAACATATAATAGGGAATATGTCTGGAATATGTTTGGGTATGTTTGTACATTGTTTGAATACTTTTTATCCGTAAGGGCTTCGCCCCATGCCGCCGCCCCCCTGTATCGGATAATGAGAGATGCAAAAGCTAAATCAGAAGGTCTGGGCGCCGCCGTGAAGCAGTGTCGGAACCTGTTTGTTTTTCGACCCTGACCCCGCCGATCTGCGTGAGGGGTGCCACCGAATTTCAGGAATGTGGCAAATCCCATGCGTTTTTGGACCCTGACCCCGCCGATCTGTGGGGTGATACCGAATTTCATAAATGTGGCAAATCCACTGTGTTTTTAGACCCTGAGCCAGCATATCTGCGTGAGGGGTGCCACCGGATTTCAGAAATGTTGGAAATCCCATGTGTTGTTGGACCCTGACCCCGCCGATTTGCATGAGGGGTGTCGCCGAATTTCAGGAATGTGGCCAATCCCATGCGTTTTGGACCCTGACTCCGCCGACCTTCGTGAGGGGTCCCACCGAATTTCAGAAATGTGGCAAATCCCCTGTGTTTTTGGACCCTGACCCCGCCGATCTGCGTGAGGGGTGTCACCGAAGTTCAAGAATGTGGCAAATCCTTTGTGTTTTTGGACCCTGACCCTGCGGATCTGCGTGAGGGGTGTAAATTTGTACCCCTCTCAGATTCTGAGAACCCTCCCAGGGCGTGGTAGTTCTGCTGGTTTGCGCTCCCCCCTCCTCGCGCGTTCATCAGCAAGGAACAGTAAGCAGCAAGAAGCAGAATTGCGACAGTGGAAACTGGAAGCTGCAACTGGCACAGGGAGCAGCACATTCCCGCCCTATAGCCTGGTGGCCCCGCAAGGGGGCCGGCGGATTTTCGTCCGAAATCCGCCTGTAGGACGCCCGACTTAGACGTCTTCCTACCAGGTTTGGGGGGACACGGCCTAGGAGAGATTAAGTCTCATGGGGATGGTGAGACCTGTCATTGCAGCCGCGCCTCTCGAGAGTTTCCTGGGGCGCCTGACCGTTCAGCGCATTTGACGTGCAAGCGGGATGACCCCCCCCTACTTGGCCGTAGTAGCAGACGCGAGAGGGGAGGCAGGAAGCTTGCGACGCGACAGAGAGAGGGCCAGGCAACCGTAGCCTCCGGCTCAAGCGAGCCCAGCAGCAGAGGCACAAAGAAACCATTGCGGCTCAAGCGAGTTTCGCAGCGACAGCAAGCCAAACGAAGACCATTAAGTGGCTTCGGGAAGGCCGCAAATGAGGCCACACTCTGGGGGACCACCTAGTGGCTCCACACTCCGAGTATCCAGGATCTCGCATTGGCCTCCCAGGAAGTGGGTGGTATTCCGTTGGGCGTTCTCCCTGGAGGCCGGCCTCCCCGAAAGTAGGTCTGACTTTGGGCTCGGGGGGAGGCCTGCCTTCCTTCCCCCCGCTTGGGAGAGGACCTGCTGAAGCCAACGGAAGAATCATCATCCACCTATCCTCATCAATCTTGGGCGCAATACAATGAACAGCTGATAAGGAGAGTGGGGTGGGGAATGCAGAAACCGAAACTCGAAACTGATTTCCCAATTGGGGGCACGACGTGCCCACACCTTCAAGGTTTGGATCACCACCGCCGCAGAGGAGACTTAGACGTCTTCCTACCAGGTTTGGGGGGACACGGCCTAGGAGAGATTAAGTCTCATGGGGATGGTGAGACCTGTCATTGCAGCCGCGCCTCTCGAGAGTTTCCTGGGGCGCCTGACCGTTCAGCGCATTTGACGTGCAAGCGGGATGACCCCCCCCCTACTTGGCCGTAGTAGCAGACGCGAGAGGGGAGGCAGGAAGCTTGCGACGCGACAGAGAGAGGGCCAGGCAACCGTAGCCTCCGGCTCAAGCGAGCCCAGCAGCAGAGGCACAAAGAAACCCACCCCCACCCCCAACAGACCCACCACCAGGCACCGCTAAGCGGGCCCGAGGGACGGGAACGGGGAAAATAATCATCTGCCCCTTCCACCTTCGTCTGACGGCCAGCGAACAGCAGCCGCGACGGGGAACGAGGGGGGAGCAAGCAAAAACCCGCACCACCGCGCACCGCCAAGCGGGCGTGGGGGACGCGGTTCGGCGCAGCTGCTGCTAAACCCGCGCCTCCGCCCCGCTGCCCTGCGGCCACGGCGGGAGGTAGTAGGAACACAGAGGCAGCTTCGATGGAGAATCCCCACCCCGTTTTGGAGCAGAGCGGGGACGAGGGCCTGCGCGCCCCGCTGGCGCTTCTGACGCCGCGCCTCGAAAACGCAGTGGAGACATATTGCGCAGCGTCGGGCGATTCCGCCGGCGCCGTGCGACAATGGCTGGAAGCGAATCACGTCACCTCACTGCTGGTGCTGGAAATCCTGGCAGACGAGCTTGGGGAACCAGACCCCGAAACAGACCCACTGCGACCACCGGCGGGTTTCTTTGACCATGCCCTGGATTTGGCAGAACAGGCGTACCTCGCCATCAAGCACGTGGCAAAAGTCCGAAGGAAGCATGCCACGGCCGACCTCAAAGAGGCGGCACCGCTGCGCACGGTTGAAAACCTGTGCACGCTGCCCGCTACGGGAGCACAGCGACCCTTCAAAAGCTCGCGCCCGCGCGCAGAGCAGCAGCGCGACCAGGAGAGCCTGGACGCGCGCGAGCACGAGACGGCGTTGAAGGCATGCCTGCATCTCGTTGACTCAGTGCGCCAACACAGCCAGCGCTGCGCCCGCATGGATGATTGCGGATTGCCGATTGGGGACCAGCGCAGGCTACTGGCCGAGCTGCTAGGGCGCAAAGCGCGAGTGGCGAGCACGGTCAGACAGCACTCCCGGCATGTCCATCGATTCATGACGTGGCTGGAATCGCGCGGCCGCCAGGTTGCAACTGTGACTGAAATCGACGTCAAGGTGTATTTGGACGAGCAGAAGGAGCGGGGACATTCTGTGCCCGGTGCTGTGTTTTCGGCGCTGCGCTGGTTTGACAACGCAATCCAGATGGGGTGGCCGCTGCAGGACGAGCTGGTATTGACAGCCGTGACAGAAGCGCACGGAGCGGCAGCCGCCACGAGAGTGCAGGCGGAACCGTTTACGCAGCTGGTAGTGGACAAACTCCATGACCTCTTCTGGCGGGCACAAGGGGCAGAACGATGGATCACAGGTTTCTACATCTGCCTCGCCAGCGCTGTGCTCCGCTGGGGAGACCTCCACAGATCGTGGAACCTCGGGCTCACGCGGGATGCCTTGTACGGCACGTCGTACCGCATGAAGCGGAAAACAGCGCCGACCCCGTGGGCGGCGTTGCGGCACGACGCTGGCGGCCGCGACTGGGGTGGGGCATGGCACGAGCTGACCAACGCCCTGACTCCAGAAAGCGACCCAGGCCAACCACGGAAATGGCTCTGGCCGGCGGTGGAGCACCCCGGGGAGGGTAGACTGGAAGTAGCTGCCCCTTTGAGGAAAGGCTCCTACCACAACTGCTTGCGCACCCTGCAGGTGATCCTCCGCAAGGCAGGAGTGCAAGACACACCGCGGGGGTACACCCTCCATTCGCCGCGCTTCTACATGCCGGCGGTGGTCCGGCAGATTGGTGGCACCAGGGAGCAGGTTGCAGCGGTCGGTCACTGGGCGGACGGAAGCCAGGTCCCTTTGCAATACGACCAGGCCAGGTGCTGCTCCGAACTGCTGGTGAAGGCACAGGTCTTGCAGGCGCTCCGGAACGGATTCCGACCGGCCGGAAGCTTCGAACTGCCTCAATTCGGCGGGCCGCGTGACGTGCACCCACCGCCCGGGCAGCTGACCGAGGGCACCCTCGGGGACCGCAAAGCGGCCCCTGGGCTAGACGCGGAGGCCGCCAAGGCAAGCGCCGGGCACCAGGGCGACGACCAGGACAGAGACCCAGAATGGATATTGAACGTGCGGTCGGCCATGCTGCACAGGAAGCACCCGTCTCTGACGAACCGCAGCCTATGCCCGTACGTGCGCAACTACGAAAGCCGCAAGAATTACCGGCTGGTCGCCTCCGGAAGCGAGTTGGACGCAGCATTTTGCGCCAGCTGTTTTGGGAAGGCGAAGGCCGTGGACATGCCTCAATGGAGCTCGCCAGAGGACTGCAGCGGATCTGAGGGTGGGGCCGCGCCCTCTGACAGTGACAGCAGTAGCCCTGCTGAGTCCTAGCGCAAAGAGGAGCGAGAGACCCCTCCCTCCCCGTCACCCCTGGACCTCCTTCTCCCCTCTGCTCGAAGGGCAATCAGGAGCATGCTTCAGGTGTAGCATCATGGGGTAGGGGGAGACGAAGGAAGTACCCTCTGCCACTGAGCGTATTGACCATGAGACCCTAATTCTTTTGACGTCTGCAAAGGAAGATATGGTTGTCAAATGTAGTATGTACTTGTAGACTTTATTGCCGAGGCCATCGCTGATCTATCGATGATGGATGCATACCCCCTGCCACTGAGCGCATTGACCATGAAACCCGAATTTCTTTGACATGTTACCTCGATTCTCAGAGGAACGACTAAGACATCAGGACGGAGGGGTTGCAGGGCAGACCGCCGAGAGAGGCAGCATATAACTGCGCCCGCAGCGCGGCCCCTGAGGCTC